ACATCTCAAGACATATTGCCATTCATTGGCCACAAGACATGATGGGAACAGAGATGAGGGCAGCGCTCATCACTTTGGGAAGCGTTTTGCTGACGAGTGCTGTCATCGGAAACGCTTACTTCCAGAAGAAGCAGTTCTATCCATCTGTGGTATACATCACTAAATCTAATCCATCGATGGCTGTAAGACATGTCCAACACTTGCCTTTGAGTGCCAGTCAATGATAACAATGTATTGAATGCACAGATAATATACATTCAGGCGTTTGTCTTCGTCTTATTGATGGGAAAACTGATGCGAAAGATATTCTTCGGACAATTAAGGACCGCAGAGATGGAGGTATTGACTGCTTTGCCATCGGATCCAATGTCTTATGTCTTATGTCTTAATCTGACGGTAATATTGATGTTGTGTTAGCATCTGATCGAGAAGTCGTGGTATGCGGTGACCGAGACGTGTCTGGCGTTCACAGTCTTCAGGGATGACTTGTCGCCCAAATTCGTGGCTCTCTTCACACTCCTCTTGTTCCTCAAGTGTTTCCATTGGTTGGCAGAGGACAGAGTGGACTACATGGAGAGGAGTCCTAATATATCACTCCTGTTCCACATCCGAGTCATTTGTAAGACATTGAGTCCACCATTGAGTCCATTACTCTCATGAGATATCTGTTGTCATCACTGCAGCCCTTCTGTTCCTTTTGGGAAGTCTTGACTTCTGGTTCATTCATATGGCATACTATAGTACTCTCACGAAAGGGGCGTCCGTTCAACTGGTCTTCGGCTTTGAGGTAAGCAATGATTGTCTCAAGACATGTATGCATTCAAGTGATATATGATGTGTTGATGTCTGGAATAGTACGCCATTCTGTTTGCTGTGGTCTTCAATATCCTGATGAAATACATCCTCCACTTCGTTGACCTCCAGAACGAGAATCCCTGGGAAGACAAAGCCGTCTATTTGTTATACACCGAGCTTTTGATGGGTTTTCTAAAAGTGATTTTATACGTGACTTTCATCACAATTATGATGAAAATCCATACCTTTCCCCTCTTTGCCATCCGTCCCATGTATTTAAGTATGAGGTATGCCTTCAATGCATTGCTTTTGGTTCAGTCATTTGATTCTCACTTTTGATGCACTTCTTAGAGCCTTCAAGAAAGCACTGAATGATGTGATAATGTCTCGCCGGGCCATCAGGAATATGAATACGTTGTATGTCTTACCTCTGAAGCCATTTAAAACTCAATCAAATGATCTTTTAATCCACTCTTAGATATCCTGACGCCACACCAGAAGAGCTGCAAAGTGTGGACAACGTATGCATTATATGCAGGGAAGAGATGACGGGCAATGGTAGCGCCAAACGGCTTCCCTGTAACCATATATTCCATGTGTCGTGTCTGCGCTCGTGGTTCCAGAGACAACAGACGTGTCCCACGTGTCGAATGGATGTGCTTCGAGTGGCGCCCAATGCCGGCGCCCAACCACCGCCTCAACAGCAGCCCCAACAGCCCAGAGCACAGCCGGGAATCCCGCAAATCCCGCCGCAGTTTTTCATACCCGCCA